TACACATCTAGATGTGTATAAGAGACAGTATATATTGAGGGAATAAAAAAAAAAACAAAAAAAAAAACATGCATTTATTAATCCCAGTAATGAAAAAAGGCGAGACATGCACCTGTACTCTGGGGTAAGGGACCAGACCAATGTACATTTCAACTTTTTGACAATCTTTAATTTTATTGAATAGACCGATTTTAATTCATTTGGTGACTACAAAAGTCAAAACATATGAATTTCTTTTTCGCCGACAACCAATTTTCCGACAGTTTTTGTGTCTATGCCCCCTCGAAGCCCAGGAACAGAAACGATTGACATAATGCTTTGTGGACGGACGAATAGATTGAGCAAGTAGAGACCCTGAACTAGATCTTTAGAGACCTCTTAGGAATATAAGGATGAATTAGTTGTGAAATAAACACTGGCGATATAAACAGTAACTTAATCAATTTGCTTTTTTTTTAATTCAATTTGTATATGGCTAAGTAAATTAATTCTCATTTTTTGAATTATATACCGTATACCCATTAATTTATTGATAGGCCTATGCCTAATTTGTACCGTAGGCCTACCTTCAAATTGTAATTCAGCCTGTGCTACTATTTTTAAAGTTTTATATGTGAATGAATAAAAGATACCGACCAATTAATATTGTAATATTAAATAAAATACGTCGTATTCTGGTGTGATTTTAACAATTTTAATATTATTAAAAGTATATTGTACATTTCAATTGTCTTACTTGTTTCTCAATTTGTACCAATTTGAAAAATTGCCCCATATTGTATTAATTATTGCTCTTATGATTTTTTTTTATAGTACTAAAATATTTAATAAAAAATAAAGATGAACATGTGTTTATTATGGGGCCTGTACTTAGCCTAATATTTTTAGCAGAATATTTTATTGCATGATTTAGGCCTACTGTATATATTAAAAATGGGTCTGCATGTATGGTAAAAAGTAACGATTTTCCATGATTACCATACCGATATTACCAGTCCCCCACAAAACAAAACATCTGTCGACGAAACATCAGTCACATCAATCACAACATCACAAAAACAAAAATTTTCGGCGAATATGTCTGTCGGTAAATTGGTTGTCTACTGAAAATTCCTGAATTTAGAATCCCATATGAAATTAGTTTATACAAAGTAACACATACAGTGAGCCTATACCGATAGGCCTACTCATTTTAAGAATCAAGAAAAAAATGTTCATTTACTATATAATAATAATAATAATAATAATAATAATAATAATAATAATAATAATTCTGCCTATTGTTATTTTGAGTAACTAATAACTTAATCAGTGGTGGCATCAGTGGAGTCCGAGTGATCAAATCCCACCAACCCACCACCTGTCAAGGGGATCTCCCCGCCGGGGAGTGTTATTGAAATTTAAGGATTTTGCATAATTCGTCACCCGACATCAAGAAGAGACACAAACTTCAAAAATCATATTTTTTGAATTGTTTTTTCTTTGGCAACTTTACCTTTCACCTAATTAGCATAATTGCCCATCAGCTAGCTCTTGGCATAGGCCTACTAGCAAAGAGTATACTCCAGGGTTGCCATTGGCCTTTTTGACGGCCAGATTTTCCTCAAATCTGGCCGTATAAAAATTTGCCTGGCCGTTGGAAAAGCTACGGCCAAACTATATTTGGCCGAATTTGTGAAAATTTTACATTTTTTCCCAATATAGGCCTAATATAAGCAGATATAACGTATATTCTTCTGGATAGGCCCTATGTTGTTTTTGTACAAAAGCTTAAATTCTTTATTTGACTCTAATCGTGTACCTTTCTTTACATTGAACGTCTATAGTCGTACTCGCACTAAACACTTAATGTATGTTCCCCCTTTGGCCGAGTTGACGTAAGAAGTTTATTTAAAAATTAGCAGGCCTAAATTTAATAATTTAAATTGTTCGGATGAAATATATATTCTTTATGAAGTTTATTCTTGTTTAAGCTTCAAGAAAGTTCAATGCGAGTTTGTACCGTGTGTTTTATAGTTCCAACTATGGAGATTTATATCTCTTTTGGTTGAGAATTGAATAAAATAAAATACATTAAAAACTTTAATTTATTTATTTAATTGCCCACTTGAATTTTATAGGCGCTTCAGTGTTCTTTATGTAGAGCGCCATATAAATACTCGATGTTAGGGATCCGATGGCACCTCCAACTTCAAGCAAGTGAATTGCAGAGACTTCTTTGAAGTTACTCTGAAGATAGGTGCACATGAAAATCACGAAGAAGATGATTCTAATAGAGACATTGATTTGTTGTGTTAAGTAATGCATTTATATCATTCAGAGGCGAAGTTAGAAAAAAAAATAGATCAAAAGAAGTTATTAAAGTTTTCATAGGTTGTTTTAACAACGGGTTAATGTAACTTTCATTCTAATTTAAGAGAGCCACTGATTTGCCATATATGAAGATTCGATAAACAGGCCCTTAAACTTATTGATACATGGACTACAATGTACCTTATTTTAATAAATTTGAATAAAATTTAGATCAATCTCAATAATGTGTTTTTAAATAGGCCTACATGTTAGCAAATGATTAAAGAACATATTTAATACATCGCACCGTCCAATTCGAAACCCCTCTAATTCGAGACCACTTTTTCGAAGAACCAAATAACACTTTTCAAACTATTAACACTATGCTAACTCTGTCTCTGTGGAGTCCGAACCCGAGACCACCTTAAATATTCAAGTCCCAATTGTGGTATTGAATTAGAGGGCGAACAGTATTATGATGTAGCTGGGCATTTAATTTATGGTGATAAATTAACTATAATAACAAAAAAGGTGAAAGATTAACATTGTTCGGTGTATATCATTTTATTTTCTTCAACTTCAAACAAATTACTGCTGATTTTCGTGTAATTTTTGTATTTTAAATGAATATTATGTACCCACTGTTGTCTTCTAATCGGATTAAAATCTGAATTTTGGCCGATATCGAAAAAAAAGTTTGGCCGAATTTGGCCGTGAGATGGCGTGTGTTTTCCCACGAAGCCTGTCGACTATTCTGGCAACCCTGGTATATGACTGTCTCTTATACACATCTCTTGAATTTTATAGGCGCTTCAGTGTTCTTTATGTAGAGCGCCATATAAATACTCGATGTTAGGGATCCGATGGCACCTCCAACTTCAAGCAAGTGAATTGCAGAGACTTCTTTGAAGTTACTCTGAAGATAGGTGCACATGAAAATCACGAAGAAGATGATTCTAATAGAGACATTGATTTGTTGTGTTAAGTAATGCATTTATAACATTCAGAGGCGAAGTTAGAAAAAAAAAATTAGATCAAAAGAAGTTATTAAAGTTTTCATGCTGTTGCTGAGTAACTGTACGATACATACTTGCCATACGACTAAAAACTACCTGACACACAGGCATAGGAGTATCATAGGGCCTGTCGCCGTGTCGCCCATTTCGAAAGCTCGTTATTGTCAAGCCGAGCGAGAGCTAGGCTAGGCTGGATGTTTTCAAAAACGTACACCCGTACTCAAACTCAAATTTTGGCGTACCCGTACCATATTTGGCTAACCAGTGTCAGAATGTTCAGTTACCGAATACTTATTTTTATTAATATTAGAGTTCAGACATGAATTTGAAACGAGAAAGATTATATCAAGGAGGTATAAAAATAACCTCCTTGACCTTGATTATATATAGAATAACCGTCGCATGTTGTTATGTAGAAATGATTTATTTATATGATTTATTTATTTATTTTTAACTCTGAGATCATGAAAGGCAAGCATTGCCATTGGGACTACCTGAGCTCAAATTTGCACAGAAAATTACTAGGAAAATAGAGGTGCACAGAATCATAATTGCTGCATAATTGCATTGGTTATTTAAGATTTGTTCAAAACATAATTTTCAGTAAAATCTGCGCTGGATCCGTCCTTATTTTCTGAAATGTGCAGATGGATTTCTAGGGCAAATTTTTGCGCAGCAGATATATTCCACGCGCCCAGGCCTCCTTAATATACAATCTGGAAAAATTATGTGTTCACATATAAGTGACCAGAAGAAATAAGAACAAGGTTATAATAACTGAACCCTAAATATAGGCCTAGATATTTATTTTTATTTTTCACCAAAGCTGTCAATAGACTAGGCCTTTACAGTGACACTGAACAGTGTTTGAAATAAGGAAAAACTTCAAGTTGCCCGGCTGACAACCTAGATGGAAACTTTAGTTGTCCGCAAATGTTTTTACTTGTCCGTATATTATCTGTTGCTTGCTTCATTTTTACCTTGCACTGTTTTTCCTCTTGAACTTGTTTTTTCCTTCAAACCCAGCCATTTCCTAAGATCGTTTGACATGACGAAAAGTTCGATGAAAAGTTCGAACGCCTTCCCACGCGCGCCTCCATTCGCCTTGATACGTGAGTCAGTGCCTTGTTGTGCGGAAATTTGATTGGCTAAATCTATGGCAGCCATCTTGGATGGTACACACACACAGTTCTGCGTATTTCGAACATCGAATACATTGCGGTTAGCGCTCTAGTATTCTTATTATATCTCTACGGGCCCGCCACAGTATAAGTAACACGTGAGAGGGCGCCTCAGTTCAAATCTCAGACCAAAACGCGAGAAAACATGTGATTCGGCGAATCCAAAATGGCCGCGCCCGTGCCAACAACCCAGTAAGGTTCGGGAGGCAAAAAACGATAACTTGAGCTGAGGTTTGGACCCAAAATTTTTTGGTTGTCCCACGGACAAGTTGCCCTATACTGTAGTTCTGGTTGTCCGTGGGACATTTTGGTTGGCTGGGACAAGCGGACAAGCCTTATTTCGAACACTGCTGAAGAATCTTTACACAAGAATGATGTCATTATAATGTCAGTAAATGAAACATGGTATGAATGGCCACTATTTTTTGAAGTGTAGACCTGCAGTAGTAGTAATAGTAGTATTAAGTTTCTGCCTAACCTTATGTTTGAATGTTATTTTTTTTTTTAATTACTCTTTTAGAGGGATGTAAACATGAAGCAAACTGAGTATATTGCCATTACTAAAGTGTTAAAACAGTGTAGGCCTGCAGAAGAAGTTATCCAAACAGCACTTAGTAGGTTCCCAAGGTAAGTTTTTTTTTTCAGTTCCTTTTTTCATTCTGTTTTTCAAAAAGATGTTTTCCCTATTACTGACCAGCATCTAGCTCTCCCTGAAGCTTCTCTTGGTATCCTACCATTACCAGTCATCCAGTCTGAGTCTGTTTATAAACTTCTAATGTTGCTTAAAATTCATAAACAATTGGCTGCGATGAACTCGGTATGTTTTAAAGGTTTGTGCCAGGCCTCTATCAATTCCTATCTGTCATATCTTTAATAAATCACTGACTACAGGTAAAGTTTGCTTTTGTTTGGAAACAATTGAACATTGTTCCTATTCACAAATCCGGTGCTAAGAAGTCTGTGACTAATTATAGACCAATCTCGCTGCTGCCTACCATCTCTAATGTGTTTGAAAAAATTATGTTTACTCATATTTGGTCTCCTGTCTCTCGTGCCATTTCCCCTTGTCAACATGGTTTCATTCCCGGTAGGTCATGTGAGACAAACCTAGCTTGTCTCCTGACTACTGTGTATGACTCCATTAATGACCAGGGGCAATGTAATATTATTTATACCAATTTTTCAAAAGCTTTTTAGTTCCCCACAATTTACCTATTTTGAAATTACGACAATATGGTTTTCATTTTAATCTTTTGTCTTGGTTTAGTTATTTTTTAGATGGCAGACAGCAGCGAGTTGTTATTGAAGGCAACACATCGGGGTGGCTTCCAGTCAACTCCAGTGTCCCTCAATGGCTCCATTTTAGGGCCTCTTGTCTTTAACCTGTATGTGAGTGACATTCCCTTTTTATTTAAAAACTCAAAATGTCTTATGTTTGCAGATGACTTGAAAAGTCTCCAAAAAGTTAAAATTTAGATGACACTGACAAGCTTCAGGGAGACCTAGACAAATTGTGTTCTTGGTCGCACTCATGGGGTATGGTGTTGAACCCTCAGAAATGCAATACCATGACCATCAATAAAAACAAAATTAATTATATTTATTTAGATGATATTAAAAATACTTGCAGTAATGATTATCACCTTTCCATCATTTCTCCTCTGTCCCGCAGATATCTTAAAGATTTTATTTTCCTATTTAAATGTATGCATTCAATTTGTGACTGATTTAGTTTCTTGTTTTGGCCTTTGTGTTCCTGTTCCCAATTTAAGAAATAACAATGTTTTTATTATTCCTTTTAGCAGAGTTAATGTTTTAAAAAAATGGGTTTATTAGTAAATAAGTATATCTTATAATACTGTAATTTAGTTCAGGCCTATCCCAATATTGATATTTTAAATTTTGACTTACCTACTTTTCGTTGTACTATCTTGAATGTGATTAGTCCTGTCTTGTGTACCATTCTGTAAGTGGCGGATTTGTGTCGGCTGTTGATTTGGTTAATGAATAAATAAATAAATAAGTGGCGGATTTGTGTCGGCTGTTGATTTGGTTAATGAATAAATAAATAAATAAAAAAATAAATAAATAAAATTGTATGTAACTCTAGAAATAATATTTGAACAATATCCTGTCCAGACTATCAAATTTTATTAGACAAAAAACTGTTATATGCACATATATAGTCATGATGTGCCTATATATGGTCATGATGTGCCTATATATGGTCATGATGTGATGTCATCATGACCATATTTAGGCAAGTCGCATGTTTTTGTCAAATGTAATTTGATAGTCTGGGGAGGTCTTCATATTACACGTTCACTGTATCTTAAGATTTTGTAACCACAGTGATTATAGAATCCAGTCAACCCGCCCCCTTGGAAAGTCGCCCATCACCATTTTGCCTGTTACAAATTTCCCCCTTACAAACTTGCCTCAGAGCTTACAAAGCTTCCCACCCCCCCTGTATCTTATACACATCTAGATGTGTATAAGAGACAGCTTTTAGAGGGGATGGAGTGGGGTAAGAAAAAGAGTACAGTACTGTTTGTACACTTGTTGAAAAATCTTTATCTCATTAACCGTTTCCAAGTTTTATGTCAAACCAATAGTGTCTTGCCTAAAGTCAGACCAAAGGATTTGAACCAGTGGTGGCTACAGAAATTTGCAGACAAGAGGTCCGACATGTCCGTTGGAGGGGTCTGAACCAAGGTCCGGGCCTCGGAGTAAAAATTTTTTGATCTAATGACCTCATCGTGGCTTCAGACGACAGGGGGTACCATACCTCCTGCCCCCTCCCCGGCACCACCATTGATTTGAACCTCTGACTTTGAGGTTGATAAACCTGAACCACAACGGGCATTAATATCTATCCTAATATAGATAAATGAATGAATTTTTGTTTTTTTCATCTCTCTACTCTATTTTGTTTTTCTCATTTTTTTTCAGTCTTACCTACAAGACTGCCGTGGCTATTTATTCGCAGATCATTCAAAGAAAAGTGCGGATGACGCTACACAAGCACCAGACGCCTGAGATGATCAAGTATTATTACGATGAGTAAGATTTATTTAAAATTCAGTTGAATCCTGGCGGCACCAGGATTTGCCCAATGATTCGTCCAATGTCCCCAATGGAGGGGGCGATATCCACGATGAGAGCAAAAATGAGCGTGTTTGGGTGAAAATGTGACTATACTATTAAGGGTCCCAAAGCCTTTAGTCAATTTTAGAGTCTATAAATATGTAAAAAATATGAAAATTGTTTTCCTTTCCAAAGAATTGTGCTAGCTCTCCCAACAGAAAAACCTTTTATTTTCTTCTTTTTGTTTTCCCTCTGGAGGTTGGCATTAAGCGTAGGCTAAATAAAATTGGTTACAGTAATTTCAAAAGGATTATTTTTTCTTTTTTAGATTTTTGGCAAAATCAAAAGAAGATCCATTTGGGCCTGTGATGCTTGATCTAGCATTCAAGGTGAGAAACTAATTCTGTATATAGCTTGGTTTATCTTAACTTACACTTATTGTTGAATTTGGAATTTTTTAATGTGCAATATTATTAGGTCTATGTTGAATTTATTTTTTTAATTACTGTTATATTTTTATATTAATGCAATTTAACATAATACAGTTTTTAATATATCTAATTGTAAAATAAAATATTTAAATTTTAAAAATAATTTGATTGCACTTGCCCAACTGTTAGGATTTGAATTTAGAATTTTTTTAGTACAGTTACAGTACATTTTTATACCTATGTAATCATAATACAGTTTTAACATATTTAATTGTAAAATAAATAATTGTAATTTTGAATTGACGGGTTTTTTGGGTCGGGTGTGAGAATTTGGGTTGGGTTCTTATTGGCTTATTTAATTAATTTGGGTGTGTGTGTGCAATTATTCGGTTTAACTTTTTTTTAATGTTTTTTTGGTTTATGGAAGTAGGAGTTGAAGAGGCACGCCCTTTGGTGATAATAGTTTCTTCCGCTTTTGCCTCTCTGCAGATCTCCCTTCCATTGTGTGTATTTTAATGTTTGTACTGCTGGAAGGAATAAGCTATAAAAGAAAAATATATATAAATGAATTTTATCATACTTTAAATCTGTTTTACATACACCTTTTTCATTTCTCCAAATATATTTATAATCTTTCTATTAAAAAGGTATTGAGCTATGACTATTAAATTTTGCCAAATATGATCTTAGACTCGCTTTGGCATTCCACAATTAATGCTCATTAATGTGCATTATATTTTTAATATCTTACTTACAGGTGGTCATAAGTGAGCCTGATGATGATGATTTTGTTGCGGCCTGCGAAATAAATTAAAAAGCCCCGTGTGTGCGGCCCGCCAACCATCTTTGGCTAGAAAAACTCCTTGTTGGCTGGCCGACACCGATCATCTTTAAAAAGTTATATTAGAACTGAGCATAAAGTGTTATAAAAGCAGTCCATGAAGGTTTTGGAAGCACACTGGAAACATCAGGGTGTAGGTGGTGCCCTCAGTGTTAAATAAAAAATCCACTTTGGCCCTCTGCCCTATTTTTTTGCCCACCCCTGATCTTGCTGTTCTACTTGGCATGCTGAACAATTTGTTTTAAATGATTGTACTTTAACCACTTTTTAGCATTTTAACAGTTTTTAAAAACAAATTTTAATAATTTTTTTTAAAATAAATTATTTTAATTGATTTGTACTTTGAACAACTTTTATAAAACCATTTGGACTTATTTCTAACAAATTGTTTTAATTGAGTAAAATTGTTTTGTCATTTGTTCAATTGTTGTACAGTACTGTACTTGATTCAATATGTTTGTAAATTTTGAATGCACCTCAGAAATTTATGTGCCACTGTTTTCAAAAGTGAAGATTCAGTACCAACGACCTCCTCCAATTAATGACCTTTTTTCTGTGGTCCCATTGTAACAAATGTCTTTTATTTTTATTATACTAATTAGAGACCAAAGCTAGTAAACACTATGGGAACTTTGTCCCAAAAGTGGAGGGAGACCTGTATTAATGTGTATTGTGGGGTATTTAGATTTGGTTTAATTTATTGGTGTGAAATACTCTACACCAAAGATTGTGTGAAATATGGTTAATTAATATTAATTAAAAAACACAGCCAGCAGATATTGAAGGCTACAGTAGATGGTCAAGAGATATTTTATACAATAGATGAAGTAGTGATGTGACTTTGGGAAAGCGTCATTTTAGCTAGTAAATTAATACTAGATTGTAATTTTCTTTTTCTAGGCTGACCTTCCACCAGCTCTCTTAGCAAGGATCGTCCTGGAACAGTATCTTGCAACGTCTTGCAGCGACCAAGAAAATGGTAACAACAGTCTTTTAAGAAAACTAGCCAGCTGAAATAGACAATTAGGCTGAGTTGCCAGGTTGTATATATGCTGATAAAACAGGCCACCATGCTCACAAACCTTGACAGTGGCACACAACAATAGCCAATAAAATAGAATCTATTATATTCTTTATGGTGATACACCATAGCTCTCAGCATAGATTTATTTATTTTTTTTTCGTGTGACAAAAAAATATTCTGACCGATCAGCAAGCGTAGTCTTTCTTTGCTTCGCATGCAGTTATTATAAAAGAATCTCTAATGAGATCCAACGGGCTGCCATTGATGCACGGTAGAGATTGCATCTTTAGATCTCCGATCTTGTTCACAAATTCACGGACTAGTGCTGTCTTAAGAATTTCGTAGGATGCGTTATGAATGACAAAATATTCTTTGTATCTACTGGAACCGAGCCACATAGCTTGTGTTCCACTATTTGCATTTACACCTGGGCTGTGTATATATATTGCCTTGGTTTCGCTCTGATCATTAGTGTTCGGTTGACTAGTCTGGGATCTACCTAAGCTGGTCGAACGTTTCATTTGGGTCTCTACCCTAGCTGCACTGATGAGGCTTGGAAGGCCAAAATGGATCCGTCTGCAGATATTGGGATTACTTCCCATGGATGCTTAGTTTATTTTGTCATTCTGATCAGATTTTCTCTACTGTTGCGTTTAAATTTTATATTGCATTGTTTTGCATTATGTGTCCGTTTGCTGTTTTTATAGGTTTTTCCTATTTAAGTATATGTATATATGTGTATATATATATATATATACTGTCTCTTATCCTGTCAGTTGTGGCTTTTGTGTAAATCTCTCCTAAGGCTCCAAAGAAAACTTTTTTTTTTCTAAGACAAAAAGGGTGTTCAACGAAAAACATGGAAACGGCTAATGAGCCGGGATTGTACAGGTCAGCGGCGGTTTACGCTGATTTTAGAAACGTTTTGGCCGCATGCTGTTAGCTAAAACAGTATACTGTATATATATATTTTTTTTATTCAGTGGTTATGTATCATTGTACTAACAAGGTTTCAAATTATTTGTTTTTCGATAGTTAGTAAGCTACAATTAAGTCAACTACTTAAAGAGACGCATCTCATACAAGATCCTGTCTTGTCATTTCAAGTGCAACAGGTAATGTTTGATACAGTATGTATGCATATATGATGTAATGTTGGTACTGCTATTTTAATGTTCGTCTTGGTTTTTGAATGTACAAAATTTGCCATAAACCATTAATTGATGAGATCAGTTTCTTTATCTGACCCAACGTTGAATTTTCCAACTAGATGTTTGTATTGCTGATCAGTAACAATATCTTTGAATGACTCTATCGGCAGGCTGTTCTGAATGATATGTCCTATGGTCCGATTGTTGAAAGCATCAAACAGTATCCTTTATAGTGTTTGTCGTAGGAGCAATGCTACACAATTCTACACAATAAAAATGTAGATATGATAAGCCAAACCAACCCCTCCTCATGGGTTAAACAGTAAAATTGAAATTATAAAATAGTAGAATTATTATATAAATCATACTTTTCTTTCTTATGTTACCTTTTCTTTTCTTTCCTTTCTCTCTTATGTTTTCTATATTTTTTCCTTTTCTTTTTTTATTTCCTTATTTCTTCCCTTTTCCTTTGTTATTCTACTATCTTTCCATTTCTTTTTCTTTCTTGTATTTCCAAATCATTTCTCTGCTCATCATTCTTTCATTTACCTTAAGTTTCCTTGTCTTCCCCTTGCATTACCTATAGTGCAATAAAATAGATTAAAAAAATTTTGACATTCCAACATTTTTTTTGTCATTATTACATGATTTGCGAGTAACTAGTTTGACTTGTCTTCGCCACAAATGTCGTTTGCTGTAGACGTTGACTCTCCTAAGAGCACCTTTTGCACAAACTTATATAGCCAATAAAATGCAGAAAATTATCCACGATTTTCAATACATTTAAAATCTGTGCAGCATCGAATTTGCATTTAATAGTGAGTGAGTTATATTGTATGTTCAGACACAATACTTTTCAAACTAGTGACTAGCTTTTTGGGTTTTCAATAGCGTGAGACCCTGGTGAGACCATAGCTTCTATGGGCTCTCAGAGGGGAAAAAGGGCCAAGAGGGAAGGCTCCTACTAATACAACTTCACTACTGAGCCTTGACAGTACGATCATGTAAAAAGGCTTCAAAAGCTAAGCAAATTAAGACAGTGTAATTCCTGGTTTTATTTTGCAAATGCCCTGTAGTCACCTCAACCCTTTCTTTCCCCCAGTCCCCCTAACTTCATGGGTGTATGCAAGGGGGGTCAGGAAGGTTGTACGACAACCCCCCCCCCCTCCAAAAAAAAATGTTCATAGGTCCACATTTTTTCCAAAGACATTTTCTTCTAGGGCCTTTTTACAATCATATAAATGAAAAAGCATTGATGAGGTACCATCAATGAGTCAAGACCTTGCCAATTGCGTGACATAATCTATCTCAATTCCAGCAATTCTGAAACTGAGCCTGCCAATTCGCTTAAAGCTGGTGGCGCTGTAATTAATTTTCCTGTTTCCCATCAGCAACTGATACAGTTGTTGCCGGGGCAACACATGTACTGTTAAAGTTTGATATTTCTGTTTGCGCATGCCGCATTTGCTAGACCTACATGTGGTGAACAGCAACGCAGGCCCGGATGTCGCAATTTAAAAAAAAAAAATTGACATTTTAATCACATCTTGCTGTTATTTCATTGTGAAAAGTTCCAAAAAATTATGATTACAACCCACCTAGAAAAAATGCTGGATACACCCCTGGACTTCTCCTTATGCAACTGTCATATCCTTGGACATTTTATTGAACGTCCAAGTTAATAACTTATTGTGTGATTACATCCTCTCTATAAAGCAATTCTTAGGGATCAAACTCCCCAAAGTTTTCCATGTGTAAATGTTTTAAATTATAGAATCAGTGCAGTCGCATGAAATTGTAAGGAGGTATTTATAAATATAAGTAAAATATACCCATTTTATATGATTATTGGAAACACTTCGGGGTGAGTAATTCCTTAATTGATTACCTAGCTCTATTGGTAGTGAATATGAATTCAAATTGGAAAATCTGTTGAAAAGCAGTAACATTTCCTTCATCCGTAAGTATTTCAAAACTCAATAATCGCTAAGTGCAAATAGTTAGCTTGTTTTTTAATTTGAAAAACTCACAGAGTTAACTAATTTGAAATGCCTAGATATATCGTACACCCCACTTTACTTTTTACAACCTGCGGGAGTCTCCTGCAAATTGAGAATAGTTTGCCCAAGTTGTCAATTTCATATTAGTAGTAGTGGAATTTATATGTGTATGTTTGAATTCTGTTTGGAACAATTTTTGAATCGAAGTCTGTTACAATACAATGCCGTCATCTGAATCTGCCCGTTCGTCTTTACCGAAGATGCTGTTGACAATCAAACTTCTCATTGGTCCCAAGTTGGAAAAAGTCATTTCCGGGAGAACTGTGAGGTTGGGGGGAGGGCAATAAAAGGAATTTCATATATGGATTTAGACCACATCAGCTCGCCATGGTTGGAGCTGAGGTGGGATGTCCAGAAATAGCCCTAATAAAAATTTGAATATAATTTCATTCCTACTCTGTTTTTTCATAACTTTGAAATATTTAAGGGGCCTGGGCCAGCTTCCCCCTCCCTTGAACACTGGTCTGTTTATTAAGCTTTTTTAACACATTTGATATGATTTTTCAGCACATAGTGATACCCATTGGCACTGACTTCTGTGAGAAAATGAATAATAAAGCAGTGAAAACATGCAAAATTATGAATTTGCGGAGATGGGATAATTTCCGGGATATTTTTGCTTGCTTGCGATTTCCAGATTTCCGGGAGACTCCCGTGAGTTCCGGCAGACTCCCGCGACTTCCGGGAGACTTGGTACCCCTGACTTCTTTCTGTCCTTTGCTATTCCAGCCTTGTCACTCAAATAATCAGTGGCATTGCTTTTTGGATGTTGTGTGCACAAGAGAAATTTTGACTCAGAATATGTTGCTTTAATTGCTTTAGTCAAAGCCTTTTCGTTGTCGGTACCAATAATTGGCAAACAAGATTGGGTTGTATTTAGACTGGAATACCGCTGCGAGAAAAATGTCATAAATGTAGAAGTTTTCATGAAGGAATATGGGTCCGGCAGAAATAGTGTTTGCGTGTGTCCCTCCTTATCTTTGCCAAATTCTTAAAAAAACCAATAGTTACGTGAACTTTGCACAATGTCTTATCAAGTCCAAGAACAGTCCTTTCACTGAAGGGTCCTCCACAACAAAATCTTTGAATGTCTGTCATTTGTTCATTAGTAAACAAACTTATTGTTGGTATTTTTGATTCAATTAGATGTTCCCATAATGTTTTTATAATATTCTTTTGGTTGAACATGTATCGTTTCTTATTTAATATTGTCCATTGTCCGAATGTATTTCGATTTTAGAATCTTTGCATTACTGTGCACAGCCCGCCCTTGAATTCTCTATGTGTTCGTAAACTGCAATCTGTGGTAGATCTGTTCCGCATTGACACACATCTATGAAACTCGACTTTGTGTGTTTACAGTATGCACGGTGGATTTCCAATACATTGTGATTGAAGCGAACAACCAAAGACGTTCATACCCAACTTGCGCTAGTACAATATTTGACCCGTACACACTGCCTTTCAAGGATATTTCTTTGTACTTATTTGATGGCGTTTTAATGAGAAGTTTTATTGCTTGCTCCACATTGATGACTTTTATTTCTTCATCGGTGTACATTTTCGTCATTCTCGATTGTGTAAAATTGTCCTTCGTTTTAGCTGGTGTGCAGTTAGTAGGTGTCTTTTCCCCATCTCGTAGGAGTTTGATTAATTATTCTCTCTGCAGAAATTATCCTTTGAGAGGCATCCTGGCCACCCGTCACAGTGATGATAGATAATTTTGCGTTCGATGTGTTAGTAGATGACCAGTCGATATCTAAAGACTAATTTAATAAAAATACAAGATAGTAAGTAATATCAATTATAATAATTATAAAAACAATGAGATTGATGATGATCATTATATGATAGATGACAAACTGCTTAAATTTGACTGAGTAACGAGACCTGTAAATGTTAGAAAATCAGTTGCATTGACGTTGTGTCATTAGACGACAACAGCAATAAAATAATTAAGTACATAAGACAAAATAAATGCTGTGTACCTGGAGTAACAGCATTGATGCGCTGGGCATGCTTAAGTCAACATCACTGTGAATTGAATTATGGTGCTTCTTCTTGGATAAATATTCAGCCAGAGATGACTCACTTGACTGAATGGGCAGTGGTATGTGGTGGTATTCGGTGTTATGCTTTGGTGTACGGAAGTGTGCACCTTTCAGTGAGACTGGTGTTCCTCTATTAATACCATCTGTCGTTAGAGGACAACAGAAATAAAAAAACTCATCGAATACATAAGACAAAAGAAATGCTGCATACCTGGAGTAACAGCATTGATGTGCCGGGCATGTTTGAGTCAACATCACTGTGAATTGAATTATGTTGCTGCTTCTTGGACGAAGATTCATCTAGAGATGAGACACTTTTAACCGAGTATTTGTGGTGGAATGTGTAGTATTCGGTGGTATGTGGACGTATGCGGCGGTATTTAGTTGTATGCGGTGGTGGTTGCCTTTTAGTGAGACTGGTGTTCTGTTACTAATATCTTCAATTAACAATTGCAGTGTATTTTTATTATGTTTCTGTAGGTGAGGACGAAATGCGAAGTAAGGGCTATGACAAGACACCAGACATAAAACTTCAAATCCCAATTGGTACATTCACTTTCATTTTTCTTTTTACATAACGTATAATGGGCCATGTAAAGTGGGTGGGTGGAGGGGGGGGGGCTAGCTCACAAAATATGGTGATATTATGTGAATTTTATTTACATGAGGGTGATTTTGATTTTTTTGCTTTGAATATTTTCGATGGATGAAATGGGGGAATGCGTGCCCGCGCACCACTAGATAGGCCAATGGTCCTACGACACAAACAGAATGCTTACCAATGAAAATATTGCACAAGAAAATTCAAGAAAGTACAAAATTAAGAGAGTGAAGTACAATATTAAAAAAAACCAACCAGATGACCTTTTTACATAGATTAGAATTTAAATATTTACAAAAAATTAATAAAGCGATTTACATATGCATTGTAGTATAAGATTTTCAATTTGCAAATGAATTATTAAAATACAAAATCAATAAGACCTTTATTAGAATATGCATGTCCTGTGTGGCATGGTTATCTTATTGATAAAAAGTCTTGTGCCGTTGAAAGGATTCAGAAGCGTGCTCTTAGAATAATTTTGGGACCTGATCGTAGATATGTTGAGGCGTGTGAGATCGTTGGTCTTCCATCACTGTCGACGAGGAGGGAGCATTTGTTGTTGTCTTTTGGTAAGAAACTTCTTGCCTCTGATTTATTTCGTAATACTGTATGCTCCCTCCTTGTCACCAACTTGGTGTAGACCTGCGATCCCTCCCTTTACTTGAGATTCCTTTTGGCAAATCCGAGCGATTTAAAAGGTTACCTGTTGTTACAATTGCGAAAATTTTAAATAATATGTTGTAAAGTGGTTGTTGTTTTTACTTTGTCGTAGTGCTTTTTATGCTTTCAGTAGGCCTCTGCATCTTTACATGTGAGACTACGGTTTTAGCCCTTGGCTGCTTGTAGGTCATTCATTGTCATTTATTGAATAAAGTATACCTGAATATATAAGAACACTATTTATAGCAAGACTGATGAAAAATTGCAAAGGAACATATGTATTTTTAAATCTAGTGGTTTGGGAATACATACATAATGATTCGTAAGCTCTGTTCAGATTTAATATCAAATTTTCTTTCCCATATATAGTCATGATGTGTCTATATATGGTCATCATATATAGTCCCGATTTGATGTCATCATGACCATATCTTTTAGGCATGTCACATGTTTGGTTTTTTTAGCTGTTGATGGGTATGTCATCAACTGGATTGAGAGCAAAGCCTCATTTGGGGATGAGGTCAGCCAAGCCGGCTATCTTAAAGACCAGTTCTGGAGTTACGTGAACAGGTAAGCAGTGGTGCTCAGTCTAACTGCCAATATCAAGCTATTATCAATGAATGTTACACACACCCTACAGTATGTTGATGTAATACAGTGGACCACCTTTGGGACCTGAAAATTTGGGGTGGTTTCGGGGTTGGTCTCCAATTCGAGGGCTGGATTTGTGTTAAAACGTTATTTGGGTCTTTGGAAAAGAAGAGGATTGGATTGGAGGGTGAACTATAGTTACACACATACCTAGTGCATCCAACTCTTAACATGCTTGTAGATTTAAATGTGACTACACCTTAGATCTTGTAAACACTGTTAAACTCCCAAGTGGTGTAAAGTGAATATCCAGTCAAATAATAGTGAGTAAATAATGTTGATATTTTTAGGATTACTGTAGTAATAGTATATCTAAAGTAAGCTAAATGAGTGTCATAAATGAAATTCATTATTATAATCTCATTTTCACAGACTCGGAACATGTATAAAATGCATGATCATATCTTACAACTGAAGGCCAGCTCAGTGAAGCAGTTTGAAATTGTTTCTGGGTCAGGTCAGTTCGTCGTAAGAATGCATGGGAAGGGTTTGCGTCTTAGAGCATTAAACATTTTTAATATTGTCACGATGATCGAGAACTTTAGTTGTATTTGTATGTGAAATCATCAACAACATAAAGGAGACATTTTCATATTTAAAGTCCAGCCTATCAAATTTTATTTTACAAAAACATGTGACATATCAAAATGTGATCGTAATAACAACATATTTTATCAGGACCATACATAGGCACATCATGAATATATACTGTATGGGCATACATTCGTTTTTGATAGTGTGGACATAAATAAGAACAATGTTGAAAGAGCCAAATAAAAATCAAATGTACCTTTGGTGATACAGTATTTCCAGGGCACATTCACAAATAGAACAAATTTAAAATTACATTACGTTTTTATTTTCCCCTCAGGTTTGGATCTGGGCTGGTAATCTACTGGTTCGGATACGTTGAGGATCTGGACATTCACAGAGATCGTGGAATTGCTCTTGCCCAAGATTTTCCAAAAAAGTTTGTTAGCTTCCAACCATCGTCAGTTGAAAGCATGATGCATAGTAGCTGATTTATTCCTAGGAAGGGAGAAAACAGTTTTGTGCGTGTCCCTATGAAAGAGGGTACATTGAATTGAATGAGAAAACTTTGTGGCCTTGAAGGATCATTGAACCGTCAAATTGATCCAATCTACAAACTTGGCCCCCGGCCTGTTAAAATACAGTTGAGAACTCATAGGTTTAACTGTTGAGAGTATGACATATAGGTCTACAGACGTGGTATTTTCCTTGGAAGGGGGTAAACAGTGAGACTATAATGTATACATACTGATTTTTTCCCAGGAAGGGGGTAAGCTTGTGAGACCATATGTATAAATATTGATGTGTTCCCAGGAAGGTGGTAAGCTTTTAAGAGTATGATGTAGGCCTATGCACAATGGTGTCTTCCTAAGAAGTGGATAAGCTTTCGAGAGTGATGTATATTAACTGTTAGTAAGTTTTTGAGTGTATGATGTATACATACTTGATGTGTTTCTGGGAAGAGGGTAAACTGTGAGTGTATATTTTATGCATACTGTGACTTTTCAGGAAGAATAAGGTGTAAACTAGCTTAAGGAAATTGTGAAATGGGAGGGGATACTAACATGATACACAGTACCGTACCTGATGCATTTCTTTCCTGTCTATATTTACCCTCCTCATGACAGATGTTTTTACTATTAGTCCGGCAGCTTAGCAGATGGATGTGGACGTTCCGGACAAAAGCACCAATTTTTTTTTACATGCTCCTTATGGTCATAGCATTCAATTTTTGGTAGGAACCACCTCATCCGAGGTCATTATGGCGGCCATCTTGGATTTCAAAATGGCCGCCTAATAAAACCTATGTTTATCTATGTCTCCGCTTCTAAACCACTTGGAATTATAATTCTAATGTCTGAAACTATTTATGGTCAAGGAAAACCATCATACCATTTTTGACCTGGTCAGATTGACACAAATAGGTCATTTAAGGTCAAATATTGTATGGTATCTTAAAAATTACATAATTGTCATATTTAACATTAGAACCATACCCTGACTCTCAGAATTCAAAATCTTTACTATGAACTACAATATTTCATTCGAGGTCATTCTGGTGGCCATCTTGAATTTCAAAATTGCAGCCACGCAAAACCTATATTTATCAATATATCGGTTTTTAAACCACTTTAATGAGAATTATGATATCTAAAATTATATTTCATGGTCAAGGATTTCAACACTTGTGACATGGTCGGATGGTCATTAAGATCATAAAAGGTCATTTATATACATGGTCTTTAATGGCAGATATAAATATCTTTTCACGTAGGATACTTACAGAAACAACATAATTTAAATAAAAAATATTAAAAAGGCAAATTATACGCCATGCTTAAAATATTGGAACCACGCTTCAAAAAAATATTAATGCAAATGCAATGACATGTATAGGCATAGCCTGGGTGCAGTCTGTCTCTTATACACATCTAGATGTGTATAAGAGACAGTTACCGGTCAGATTTTTAAAGGTATGAGAGTGCAATTTCCGGGCACCAAGGTTCATATTCACAAAATGTTCACACCTCAGCACCGACTACAGCATTTTGCTCTATAATGATGACAGTATGCTAATTAAATAAAACATGTGTTATATATACACAGGTTACAGTATGCTTATTCCTCAATGAATAAATAAAGTGCAAGATACACGAACATAATTACCGTATAATGCAATATGAATAACAAACAATGTGCGCCTACATTGTACGAGTTGACGGATATTGTGAAATACATATAAAAAATGTGGCCTAAATTAAACATGTGTTATGAATACACAGGGTACAATATGCTATGCATTATTTAGTAAACCAATTAAATGGCTTTCGAATTAAGCAAGGTGTATACGTTAGATTTTTAAATAACAGACTGCTGGTATATTATTTAGTGTTACTAGCTTTTGGATTATTAATGGCAGGAGGACCATGTATGGTATTCCCATCATATGGAAAGATCTACCAGGTGATAAATACGCCATAGAGCATTAGGAATCAGGGGAATCAACTTCGGGTGGGGGTCAATATTAGAATAGGCTACTGTACGTTTCTACAGGGGTTCAACTCAGGCCCTACAACGGCTCCAGTCAGGGTGGTATGGCACATGCCAAGGGAAATCAGAAATTTTTATTAGATATACTTATTAATCAATTAAACTGATTGATTTTCACT